AATTACCAAAATATCGACATAATGCTGGCCAATTCTGAACCCTATGTAGGTTTACGTAAGATTTATTTTCCTGATGATACTTTATTTTTGTTTTTTTGTAATTCTATAAATTCTATACTAATTGCTAATAAAAAATCATTAATGTTTGTTTTATTTTATGCACTTTTTTTTTGTATATTAATATCTATCATATTCATTGTTTGTCCGTTTATTCGTTATTTACATAATAACAGTTAAACGATATGTCACAGGAAGTGTAATTACATATTAATAACTAAACTCAGAAACTGTAAACGAAAAATCATGGTTTGATATAAAAAGGCAGGATAATATAATTCACTCTCTCTGTAACGGATTTTTATAAAATAATAACGGATCTTGCTCTATAACGAACGACCTGATAATTTTATATGTCCATATTAATATATAATTCATTACTGTCTATAACGGACATTTTTTCAGAGCGAATTGTATATGCGACAGTAAACTATCTAGTTTTCGGGTCTTTCTTTAATTAGTTAGTTAGTTACAATTAGAAAGGAACTCTTTAACAAGTATAAGATTTATTCTTAAATATCATTCTAGATTAAATATATTATTATTTATTATCATCTATCCTCTACCAACATATTTCCAATTTTTAATATAATCAGTCCAAAGATTTTTAAATAAAATTTTTCCAATTTTATCTAAATTTGCCATTAACATGTTTCTTTCATAATCACCAAACAAATCTAACAATGAATAGATTCCTGCTTTTAATGCTTCTCTGGTCGATTGATCCAAATAACCTTCTTCAATTTGTATTTTTATATATTTACTAATTAACGTTGGCACATATTTACCAAAAGCCTGTGAAAATTTTGATGATGACTCTTTGTTGTTTTTATTATTGTTATTGCGATATTTATTAAAAAAATTTTTATGCTTAACCATTTCTAATAATCTTGCAAATGAATCTCCACATTCTATTGATAATGATGTTGAAAGATTAATATCCCAAAAATTCTTCAAATTAGTTTGTTGTTGTAATTTTTTGTTATAAGAAAATGAATGACTATTAATATTTTTTCCTTTTGATTTAAAACCATGAAACATATCTTGTAGTATTTGAATAAATGATGGTAATGCAGATATTAATATTTCTCGTCTATATGCTAGTATATCATGAAGAAGATAACAAATTGATTTAAAAAGATTTTCATAATCTTCTTGTTGTTGTTCATCAGTAGCATGGGTGGTGACGATAGGTTTAGGTGAAGTTATTGATATAATTGATGATAAAATAATTCCAATATCATTTGATTGGAATGTGAATGCCTTTTTAATTATTTAATAAAAAAGAAATCGAACGATTAAAAATTAGTAGATTTTCTTGATTTAATTCTTTCACATAAATAATAATACCTTATGTGAAACAATGAAACTATAAATTTTCAAAATAAGTATTCTAGCTTTTAAATTTTCACAAGACTCTTCTAAATAACAAACTGTGAATAATAAATTTGGAAGTCTTCTTTCTAATTGACGAAGTTGAGCTATTTTTTTAAATATATCAATAATATAATTAATTAATATAAACATAAAAACATATATTATATGTATATGCAGTAACTACCATGCTTTGAATTTTTTAATAGTAGGCCAATCAAGTGTAAAAAGAATTTTAACTTTCTATTATTGTTATATTCTTGGAAAGAAAGAGACGAAGATGAGGAATGTGTTGGTGGTAGGTCTTCAACTTTTATCATAATTGCATTCACAAGTTTTCCGTATTGTACTTCTGATAATCTTGAAATATATTTTCCATACATTATATTCATCTCATTTAAAATATCACTTTGGGAATCTATATAATATATAAATGAATTTAGTATATGGTGTAATCTCATATATTATGCAAGTGTAAATATACCTTCATTGTATAAAATACTCATTAAATCCCAAATCCAAAAATCAATTATTAAATTATTTTGAAGCATTTCAAAATTCGAGATAAATTCCATTAGAATTGATGTCATTAATACACAATTATTTAAGATTTCATAATTTATAATAATGCTATGATTATTATTAATAGAAGTTGAGAATTGTATTAATTGTTTAGTAACAACAAACAATTCTTTCGACAGCCTAACTAATGAAATAACTTGTAAAGTCAACAAAACAATTAATATGATTAGATAAATGTATTACTATTCATAACATATATTATATAACCGTAAATAAATAAACCTTGGTCTTCTATTCTAAATCCATGATTTTTAGACATGTTTAAAGTTTGCAAGGCTATTGAATATGCCTTGAACTCGTAATCTAAACTTGTAAAGTTTTTTATTATGAGTTTTTCTTGACTTTTTAAATCTTTTTTTGTGTTGTCATCAAGTTTACCATCAAAAATATTTTTTAAATAGTGCGTAATTATTTGTGCCAATTTACTAGACACATGATTAGCCAACGAATAAAAACAATTCAATGTTTCAACTTCACTACAAATTGTTTTTTGTAGAAGAAAAGAAAGGATTTGTTTAATTTATACGAGTGTATGTGTGAGTGTATGAAAATTAATTTAACAATTAACTATAATAATAATATAGTGGGATCTTTACTTGAATATTTCAATGTTTTCTAGTTGAATTTTTAAAATCCCAGTAATGATTTTCCAAATTGTAGTACCACTACTATTATTTTTCATTGTATTATCGCCCATTATTATTACATTAGATGACCAACTTTTCAAGAATTCTACAAGTTTTTTTATATGTTTTAAACTTGATTCCTGATTACTTTTAAGAATAAGATGCCTATTTGAAAAATATAATTTCAAATAATGCGTATATTATTAATAAATAAATAAATGAATGAATAAATAAATAAATAAACATATATATAACCATAAAATAAATAATTAACTCACTTTACTGTAATTGATAAAATTTGGCTTGTAGTTTCTACTAATTTTTCATAAAATATTTCATTTTTTTCTACAAGATTACTATTAGAAATTTCTTGAAATATGGTAGCATTTAAGGAAGTTATCCACCAAGTTATCAAATCATTATCATTGTCATTATTATTATTTTGCTGAGAAAAGAAGAAAAAAATATTATATATATATATATATATATATAATTGATGTATAATTTCATAATATCAGTAAAACAAGCACACACATATATATACTTTTTAGCCTACCAAAAAATCAATGATTATACCACTATTCCATCTTATAAATTTTAATAAAAGATTTCTACATAGCAAAGAACATTTCAACTGATTGTAATCACTGCTAATATTGGCAGTGGTTGTGGTGGTGATCCATTTATCAATCAAAACTAAAAATATAAATAAAATTTTTGTTTCATCTTCTTTGAAATATTCCATTGGAATAATATTAAGAAATGTAATGTAACCAATTAATTTTTTCATATATTTAATGCTAATGATAATATTAGTGGTGGTGGTGGTGGTGGTGGTAGATGATGGAAAAATCGCATTTAGAGATTGCTCATTTATCATCTTTGTTATTGCTAGTTTATCTCCTTGAAAACAATTTAATGATATTTGAATTGCATAATTTAATTCTGTAATATTTTTTATAGAATTAGTTGTTTTCTTTCTCTTCTTTTTGTTGCTAATACTCTTGTTGTTGTCTTGATAATCTTTTAGAGTTTTTGAAATTTCTCCCATAAAAATTTTTAGAAACTTTTCTGAAACAAAATAATTGATTAATTAAGATTTTTTGAGAAATAACTAATTTTATTTAAAGTAAATTTATGTATACCTCGCAATGGAACTAATTCATAAAATTCAGCAGATCTTAGAAGCTGAAAACACAAATTTCCAATTGTCATTTGATTTTGTGATGATAGTGACAATGATGGTGATGGTGAATACATTATAAAACTTTGAATAATAAATTTCATAATAACTTCAACAGATTCATACTGACAATTATTACTATATTTTCAATAAATATATTAAATTAATAGTAAAAGTAGCAATGTCAATATTATTAATAATGTTATTCCTATACTTACATCACAACATCTAACCAATCTCTAATAATTATCATGAAATTTGCAATTGGAAAAGTTTCTACTGTCAAATCAACCAAGCTACCGTTCCATGATAATGGTGACGATGTTATTGTTGGGAGAGATAAAGTAGAAACAACAGATTTCAAAATATCTTGTATTGATGAATTAATATTTGTTGATTTATCTTCTTCATCTTCATCATTGCTTTCTGTTAACGATGATAATAATGTTTGATGAACATGTTGAAGACAAACTTTATTCTATTTAATAGAAATAAAAATTATTAGAAAGCTTTCTTTTATCTCTAAAAAATAATAATTAGTCGGCTGTGAAAAAAAATACCACAAATAATATAAGTTTTGGATCCTCGAGCATTGTAAGTTTTTGTAAATTTGTAATAAATTGATGTTTATTGTTGGATGATGTATTTTTCCAATATAAATCTAAAATGTCCACAAAAGTATGATGTAAATTAAGAGCAGTCCAAACCAATTTTGAATAAGTTGACTTGTCAACTTTATTATTATTGTCATTATTATTGGTTAGGAGATCTGTTGTTGTCGATAGTATTATTGGATTGATGTAATCTGTAAAAAAAGTTTCGCATGCTTTTTGAAAACTTTCTTTGTAAAGTGCATTAGTTGATGTTTTGAAGGCTTTTAAAAATTGTACAAGTAATATTATCACAGGTTCGATTAAAATTTTATTATTATTATTGACCATAATATGAGATGATGATGATGATGATGATGATGATGATGATGCTAATGTCGTTTCTTGACTGTCTACTAAAATTTTTCTTTTCTTTGTTTGAGCATCTTTAGTAAAATAAAGATTTGATGATAAATAATTGCTTAATTCAGATGAAAATATTGTGATGATTTCTAAAGCTTGAGACATTGGGACATAGATAGAGACTTTATTTGAAAATCTTTTTGAAGCAAATATTATTATTAATAATATAAAAATTAAAATTCAATTGTAAATAAAAATAAATGAATAAGATATTCTTGCACATACATTTCTAAAAATTCCATGGAATACAATGGATTTTTCAAAATCTCGTCACCAGCTTTTATGTTCAAATTTCTCAATGATTCCAAAAAGCTCTTTAGATAAAAATCCATTTCATGAGATTTTGCAAAAGTATCTAATAATCTTTTACCCAAACTCATCACACATTCATTTATAGATTCGCTTTGTGGCTTTTTGTGAATATTAAATAAAAGAAATAAACTTGTTAACTTATTTTAAATTCATGTAAATTGTCCCATTTAATAAATCAATATTTATATATACCAATAACATTATACCCCATAAAGTTTTTATATGTGGTTTTATTATCGTATGTTCAATTTGAAGAAGTGTATCAATAGAATTATAAACATAACGCAAATTTTCGCCTAATAGTAATGACAATTATAACAATAATTAATAATAGTCAAATAGATTTATTTATTTTCAAGTTATTCTTATAAAATTCTTACCTTGAACTTTGTGCGCATTCAAATGAATAGAATCACTAATTTTTTGAAGAGAATCCAATATATGTTTAGATATTCCATCATTATTTAATGTGCTCTTGTACATTTTTTTTTTGTTGAAATTATTTTTATTTGATAATCTGATTATTTTTTTGAATTGGCAAAGATCAACGAATTTTCTTTCGAGCTATATAAAGAAAAGAAAAAGAACGATCCAAATAAGTATTATTAGAGAATGATTATTTTGAAGGCTATTCTAGTTAATTATTATAACCTTTTAAACTTTTTAACTCATGTACAACAAAAATAAAATAGCAACAACTGTGAACACGACAAGCCTCCAAAACGACAATGTAAAAACAAGCCAGCTCATCAAGAGAAACACGAGATAAAGAGGCCAGATCTATGGTCAATTGATGAGTCAACGATTCCAAAGGAGTTATATATGACGATAAATATTGAGGTTATAGCAGAGAAAAGAAATAAGTTATTTTGAAAGATAGCTTCCAGGAAACAATTTATTTCCACGGTCAAGTATTCAGAGCTAACTAAATCTTGCAAATCTTGAAATCAAATGAATTTTTTGAAAATCATTATTACTATATATATAGTCTAGTAATTTAAAAATGTTGGCAAAGGTTTTTATTTGACCCAAAAAAATTTATTAATATTAATAATAAAAATTTCTGCCCACTTATCAACTTTTTTTCTTAGCATTTTCTGGTAGATAATTATCAAGAAAATGTAATTCATAATTATCAGAATGTTCAAGTAAATAAGAGATTTCATTAAAATTTTCATCAATTTTTTCTTGGCTTTGCTTTCAATTTCAGCATTATTAATAACATTTCGAGCTAAATCATCATTAGAGTGAACATCTTTTGTTTGGTTATTAACAGAATTCAGATATTTAATATATTTTCTCATAAATCAAAAACTACTCCAATAAACTCTTTCCGAATATTTTACTTGCCCAAGGTTGAGAAATGCATGATCCAATTGCTTTAACAAAATTCTCAAGCTTGTCTAATTTTAAATTGTGATGACTTGTAAATAATTATCTTTTTCATTATTGTGATACTGTGGGCACCATTAATTCAACCAAGTGACAAACCATTAATTAAATAAATCATAATACAACCTTTTAGATGTAACATAATGTTTTGATGGAGGTTTTAATTTTTTAGAGTTCTTTATAATGGTTCAACCGATTTTTTTTTTGTTGTTGGCAAAACACTTCCAAAATCCTCAAGAGTAAATTGAACTTTACAAGGATTAAAAGGCTTACACAAAAATAATTTTGTTTAACATTTGTCTCATAGAAATTTTCAATTTCAGTAGAATTATCTTGCACCAATTTCCTTTTATCACAATAAAATGCATAAATGATATTAATATATATACAAAATAAAAATAATTTTTTTAATTACTCTCAACCGAAAGCTTGTCTACCGCCCATATTAATATTAATATTAACATGTTTTATGATGCCAATTTTTCAATTAATTCACATTATGTTTTTTTATTTTTTAATATAAAAGGAAAAAAAGATGATTTAAAAAAATACAATTAATTTTTTAATCCATCATACACGTTCATTATTACATTAAATTAAAATTATTTAAACTAATCCCAAAAATTTTTAAAAAACTAAAAATCCATTAAATCTTGCTTTTTTTAATTAAAATATCAGAATCGAAAAATTTATTATCGGTAGTATTCCACATATTACTTTCAACAAAGCTTATCAATTTTTCTCTTGACTCATTAGAATTATTTAATAATTGTTTAAAATCAGGCGATAACATTTCTTTGTTTGATGCTAATCCTTCCTCTACTATCTCCACAATTACAGCTGCAGCGACCTCAGCCGATACACGTCTAATACGTTTTAAATCGGGATAAAGAAGTCGCCCTTGTGCTTTCTCCTCAGGTAATACTGAGTTTGCTAATGCTGATGCTGCAGCGTATAACTGTCTATCGGTAATTTTTGTTGCTTGTGCAAGAATAGCACCTAATCCTAATCCGGGACTGAACATAGTATGTGTTATATTTAAGCGAATGAATATATGTGTGTAAAATATGATATGAATCAATTTGATTTTATAATATATGATAAAAAAATACTTACAATATGTACATATTATTCCCTTGGCCTGGATAATGTACTTTATGAGTTTCAGGTTCAACATATTGTGGAAAAGCTGTACCTGAGGCAAATATTACACTATTGTTCGTATGTTTCATAGCCTAAATATAAAAATAATTGTAATTAGTTATTAGTTGAGAAATCCTATTAAAAAAACATCCATCATCATAATACTTACTTGTTCAAAAGTACATTCAGCATTATTTGAAGGATTAGATAATGGAAATATGATTGGTTGTTTGTTAAGTTCAGCCATTCTTTTTAATATTTTCTCGTTAAATACACCATGTGTAGATGATAAACCTATCAAACAAGTTGGTTTAACATATTCAATCACTTCCTCGAGTGTTTTATATTGATTACCGCCATTATCTGATCTTGCGAAATAAATTTTATGCTGTGCCAATTTGTCACCACGATCTGATGTTACGAGACCCTATGTTGGTTGGTAAAATATATTCACTAATTAATAACGTCTATTCATTTTGACCTTTCCATTCATATTCAATTGTTCATCATTTAATATTACCTTAGTGTCAACCAACCAAACCAAGTTTTTAGCATCTTCTTCACTCATCTTGTGTTCAGTCATGAAAAATTCAAGTAATTGTTTTGCAACACCAACACCCGCAGATCCAGCACCGAAAAATACCAAACGATGTTCTTTTGGATCAATATCTTTTGTTAATTTAACAGCATTCATAAAACCTGATAAAATTACACCACCGGTTCCTTGAATGTCATCGTTAAAACAAAATATATTTTCACGATATTTTTCTAATAATCCAAATGCCTACAACGAATAATAAGAAAAGATTTATTACTATTAATGGATTAATGACAGGTAATATATATATGTTTTGCAAGATGTGAGAGATATACTAACATGTTCCGAAGAAAAGTCTTCGAATTGAATTAAAAGTTTTGGATATACTTCAATCAAAGATTTGACAACAACATCCATAAAAGAATAAAACTGTTGGTTTGATTTTTAAAACCATTGTTATTATCATTAGTAAATTATTAAAGCTAACAATCAACACATACACAAATCACTCACTCACAAAAATAACAATATATATATACCTCGGCATCAGATGCTCTTTTTTGTTTAAGTCCAAGATAAAATTCATCATTTAAAAATTTTTCATTGTTGGTACCAAGATCAACAGTGATAGGTAAAGTACGACGAGGATCTATTCCAGCAGCAGCAACATATAATTGTAACTTTCCAACTGGAATACCCATACCATTTACACCCAAATCACCCAAACCCAAAATTCTAGAACCATCAGTGATAACAGCAATTTGTGGAGTTAATGATTTGTCAAATTGATATGGTTGATAATTTTCTATGATTTTTGTCAAATTGGATTTGTCTTTAAGTGAAAGGAAGAGGCCATCTGGTACACCAGATGGTGCAAGGAACGGGTAGATATTTGAGTATTCTAAACATGCTGTTCCGACGGTTGGTGTATATATTAATGGTGTGATTTCCTACATGATTTTAGTTTTTTTAGAAGAAAAAAGTTTTTTTTAAAGAATTTTCGATTAATATAAAGTAAACTCCCAAGTATAACCAAGAGATCACCAGCACCTTCCTATACAGTGTGGATTTATCTAACTAACTAATTATTTATTTACCTCTAATTCATCCATCACGATACGGTAAAACAATCTAACATTAGTATTTCTTAACCAAGCGAGGAACATGTATTTATCCAAATCGGTTGGCTTAGACCGTAATTGAATCAATGCACGCTTCTTCTGTTGTTCGATTGATTCAACAGCATATGGGCTAAGTCCAGTAATGTTCAAATCATTACGTGTTTGATGAGGTGTGGAAGTTCCTTTAACCATTTGGAAATTTAATATTTATACGAGTTATAAGAATATTCAGAGTAAAGTAAAAATAATTTAATTTTAAAGATGTGTGAAAGGAGGAATTCAATGATTAAATCATTATTTCCAAAGATTGATTTACCTTGGTTAAGATAAGGAGATTTAAAGATATTTTGATCAATTTTACTATTACCATTACTATTACCATTACCATTTACACTTGGGTTACGCATTTTATTTTTATTTTTATTCTTAATTTTAATTTTATTATTATTGTTTTTATAAAAAGGAAAATTGAATTCTTCAAATAATTCTTTCGATAAAATTGGGTCAATTGAAATATTACTATTAATTGTAGTAGAATTGGGGTTTGTATTTGTTGGTTTGGTATTTATATTTATTGATTTTGAAAAATGAAATTTTTGTTGTAAAGAAAAGAAATTTTTGCTTGTATTTGAAGGAAATGATAAATTTTTGTCGTGTAACAACAACAGTGATTTTATAAATTTGTTTTTACCGTATGATCTACTAATGCTACTTGTTATAAAAAGAATCATTCTAATTCGATTATGATGTTAATGATGTTAAATATGCGAAAAATAATTATTTTTATATTCAAAAAAATGTAATTTTTGAATGCCAATTGATATAATTGACTAAACTTTAAAGGCATTCTTTTTAAATTACGATTTATTAGTGATGGAGTTTCGCATATAATTATACTCATCGTATAAGAAGGTACATCATTCTCTTAAAATGATTTTAAAGAACCTAATTAACTAACCAATTAAAGTATCCAATATACATAGTGCATACATTATGTGTCATGATTACAACAAGTGTATCATTGTGAAAATTTTTAAAACTTAAAAAGTATAAATAAATTTTTAGTTCCGGTATGTGCCGATTTCATCAATAAAAGCTAAACCTAAAATTTTCACACACAATGCCAAATCTAAAAACCTTTTGACCAACCAAACAAACCTTTTGAAAATCACCAAGTATCTGGTATTCGCATATTCACACGCAAAACACAAATGTGTTACCAAATACAAAACTCTTTAACGAATAAAAAGAAACGAAAAAATTTTATATGGTTCACAAAAAAAACAAAT